TTGAACTGTGGTCCCTGTGCTTTGCTGAGCTTGTTCTAAGTAGGTGCTTTAGACCACTGAGCCATCTCACCAGCCCTTTTCTCATTTTTAAATGGTTAGTAAATTCATATATTCTCAAGGGAAACTCAGAAAGAAGAAAATAAAAGACACCCAAAGGGACAGACCCACCTCACCCCGGACACCTCTGTCTCCTCCCCTTCCCCTCCCCCTGCTCCCTTTCTCCTTAACCAAGGCTGCGGCTGAGGCAAGACACAAGCTCTACCGCACACACATCACTGGGAAACTTCACTTTCCAGCCTATAAACACATCCTGTTCCACCCCAAAAGCATCTCCTGGAACCAATGACCTTTAGGGGGCAGGATTTGGGTGTACCCTTGGGGGAGGTCCAGCCCTGCCCTTGCCAGGGGGTGCTCAGGAGGACGCAGGGTGGATGGTACCAGCCCAGCCACTTGGACTTCTCACCTCCATACCAGCTCCCCAAAAAGTGAGTCGAGGAGTGCGAAGACGAAGTCCATCACCAGGAACCGGTACAACTCCTGGCCCACACAGTCCTCCCAGCACTGGCCCTGCAGCGTGGCCACCCTGCGTCCCAGCCAGTGGTAGCAGAGCACGCCCAGGATGGCCATCTTCAAGACCAGGTTCCTGAGGGGGAGGAGGCCGTGGAGGCTCAGGGAGTGGTGCTGGGGACAGCCAGGGAGCCCCACACCCCAGAGCCACTAGGCCACACACCTGCAGATAGCCACGTACACCTCCAGCACCGGGGAGTCGTGCTGCTCCAGGATGGCCAAGCAGCGGAACAGGTAGGGGGCGACCAGGTTGAGGAGGCAGACAACCACAGGCAGGACCAGCAGCCCTGCCTCCTGACCAGCCGCCACCGGGCTCTGCGTGGGAGCAGGCAGGCTGCCGTCATCAAGGGCAGCCCATTGCCAAGGGACACAGGGACTCCAGGGAGGGCCCCAAGGGGTGGGAGGGAGGCAGGGAGGCAGGCAGGCAGCTAACACCTGCATCGCCCATGAGGCAAGCGTACCCCAAGTCTCACTTCAAACCACACAGGAAGTAGCAAGTGGAACCAAAACAAAAAGAAGGGCAGGATGGCCAGACATGAAGCAGGAGGGAGAAGGCGAGGAGGAGGCCGCAAGGGGGCTTCAGCCCTTCCTGTGTGGAGGCTGCCCTGACTGGGCTGACTAGAGTCACTGAGACTTGCTCCCTTAGGGCCGCTGGCCTCCCTCCCTCACAGCCCTGCCGCACCTGGATTGTGACCTCCGAGAAGGTGAGGACAGCCACCGCACAGCCCAGCGCAGCTCCCAGGCACAGCAGCCATACTAGCACCAGCGTGGCCACCCGCCGCAGCCGTCCACATGTGCTCTGGGAAGCCCTGCGCATCCGCCACTCGGCCAGCAGCTCCTGAGGGACAGCAAGTGCCTGTCACCTGCTCCACGGTATGCAACAAACCCACAACGCGTGTACCCGACACAGGCAGGGATGAGGCCAGAGGCTGCCCAGTCCTCTCCCATGCTGAAGTTGCCTCCTCACCCCACAGGGGGCCGCAGCCCCTGCTCACAGCCCAGCCCTGCGGAGGTCCAGACCCCATCTTCAGCCTGTCCCCTGGATGTGGGTGCCCTCTGGCTGGCAGGTGCGCCTAAGGTACAGAGGACACCCGCCTCCCACAAGAGCTTCCAGCAAAGCCCAGATCAGCCTAGCTAGATGTGACCTTGAGCAAAGCGCTTGTTTCTTGTGGTACTCACCCATTAAGCTACTATGCCTACTCTGCAGCTACAGCCTGAGGACCTTAAGACAGGAGAGCCCTGGGAGCAGACCGGACACTCCTGAAAGCGCTGGACCTTGAGCCAGCTAGCAGAAGACGCCCTGACACAGGCATGCATGCATGCCCTCCTTCCCTCCCCCATCCTGCCACCTGGCCTCCCTTCAGAGAGCTGAGCCGCAGGCCACGTCCTGGGGCTACAGAGGGCCCAGGCCGACCGCAGCTCACCTTCAGCTGAGTGCGAATATTGTCTCTCTGGAGGCGGGAGGCCCACTTCTGGGTCACCTTGTAGTCCCAGGAGCAAAAGACAGTGATGGCGTGGGCACCCTTGGTGCTGCCCACCCGGTAGCTCTCTCCAAAAGAGTGGGACATGCTGGGGAGAAGATACAGGGTGGTAAATGAGGAACCAAGGATGTGGGCACCAAGGGAGAAGACAGGACAGCTCTGCGTCCTCCCACTGTGCTGCTGCTGGCCCCTGCCGCCCGGCACTCTCAGCCTCCTGGTGTGAGGGGGTGTGAGAGACCGCCGCCTCCAGGAGCAGGAAGCAAGACAGGCCAGGACATCATTCGCTGCTGGCTGCTTCCAGCACAGTCTGGCAAACTCTGGGCTTACGCCAGGACCTTTGCAGTGCGTAGTCAATGACCACAACACTCTCCCCGTTTCCTGCCTTCACCCCCCCATCCCACCGCTCCTGCAACACCTGGGCAAACACCAGGGTCTTAGATGGGCCTGGCCCACTCACTACTCGCACTTCCCTAGGAGCAGCAAGCTTCTCTGACTCGGGCATCACAGACCTGAGCTGACACAGCAAACACTTGTGAATGCACAGGTGGGTAGGTGAATACTGGATGCGTGGGTGCTAAATAGATGAAGGACAGGGCTGGTGAGATGGCTCAGTGGTCTAAAGCACCTACTTAGAACAAGCTCAGCAAAGCACAAGGGACCGCGGTTCAATCCCCCAGCACCACATGCCAGCCAGCCCCGCCCCCTGGTGGGCTGAGCTGGCCACACACAAATAAATAAATAAATAAATAAATAAATAAATAAATAATAGATGAAGGACAGAAAGAATAGCAGATGGGGCCAGCAAGATAGCTCAGCGGTCTAAAGTGCCTACTCAAGCACGCTTATGCAAATGCAGGGACCACGGTTCAATCCCTGGCACCACATGCCGAGCCGGCCACAAAAAAAAAAAAAAAAAATACAGCCACTAGGTAATTTCATAGCTGGACTTAAAAGAAGGAAAAGGAAAAGAAGAAAGATCAGTAGATGAATGGATAAGTGAGTGGATAAAAGAATGGGTGCGTAGACAAAATAGCAAGACAGACTGGTGAGTGTCTGACAAATAGGTGGGTGGATGGACGAATGGATAGAAGGATGGATGGATAGATGGAAGGGAGGATAAGTAGAGGATGGCTGGATAGATGAAAGATGGATGCATGATGGACAGATGAAGGATGGATGGATGATAGACAAATGGATAAATGCATGGATGAATGGGGGGATTAAGGATAGATATAGGGATGGCTGAGGAGATGCAGCGTGAATGAATGGATGGACGAATGGATGAAAGATGAGTAGACAGCTAGACAGATAAAGGTTGACTGGAGGAATAGATGGATGAAGGATGGCTGGGAGATGCTCAGAGCCAGGTCAGGTGGCAGAGGACATTACCTGTACACCAGGGTGAGGCAGGTGATGAAGAAGGCTGCCCCCACAGTGAAGAGATAGGCCACGGGCATATCATAGGGCAGGCTGCCCGCTCTGGGGCTACACTGCGGGGAGCCACATGGCACATTCAGCATGGCGTTACTGTAGTAGCCGTAGTACATGACGGTGTGGGTGAAGCAGCCCTGTGAGGAGGCCAGGACAGGTCAGGGGCTGTGCCCTTCCCCGCCCTCCCACCCCATGGGGGCACCTGAAACGGCTAAGGGCAGCAGACATCTGGAGAAGAGGAAGGTGGCAGGAGGGCCCTGGAATGCCGGGGGGAGGGAAGAGCCACTGGGGAGCTGAAACAAGTAGGGCAGAGGAGCCAAGGCAAGAGCAGATGGCAGCCCATGGGACTCCTCACCCCGCCTGTGAGGAGCTCCAGCCCCGTGCATGTGGGGACAGGGCGCGCCTCAGGTGGAAAGGCAGCCTGCACAGCCACCAAGAAGGCCACCAGTGGCAGCAGCAGCAGGGCATTGAAGGCCAGTAGGGTCTTGAGGAAGAGGAAGTAGGAGAGCACACTGGAGCCAAACTGGCCTCCGATCTGCTTCAGGGTGTAACGCCAGGGCTTCAGGGCATGCAGGCAGGTGAGCAGTGCCAGCCCCAGGCTATGCAGGGCCTGTGGGGACAGCAGTGGAAGGCCCTGAGTGCTGGGATAACAGGCTGGTCATCCACAGGTCCTCCGCCGCTCTAGTGGAGACCGTCACTGCTCCCTCCACACCCAGCCTCCCCGGCCCAGCTCCTACCAGAGCGCAGGTATATCGGAGCTGGCTGCAGCAAAAGACCCCGCCACAGCCCTGCCGGCTCCTCTGCTTTCCCCTTGGGATCCGGCTCTTCTCTCTGGGGACAAAGGCAGCCCTCGGTGCCTGGACTAGAGTAGGCCCCGTTACCTCCTGGGGCCATGGACCCAGATTGGGAACTCTTCTCCCCAGCTGCCCAGTGAGCCCAGGAAGCTGCAGGGTGCTCACCGCAAGAAGCGCTTCTCCTGCAGGCTCAGGGGCATCCCCCGGAGCATGTGGTCTCGCTGGGCTGCTGGCAGGCCCTGAAGCTCCTTCACCAGCAGCCTTCGCTTCTCTGCAAGAGGGAGGAGGTCAGTCAGTGCCCGGCGTCCCTCGCTGCTGGAGCCACCACCATCCAGACACCCTGTCCACCTGATGCTAGCCCAGAGGGCTCCTCCCTTCCTGTCCAGCTGAGGCCAGACCCAGGCCAGCTCCCAGGCCACCCTGGAGCTGCTCCTCAGCTCATGCCCTACCATGCCCAGCGCTCTTCCCTCCCCACCTCTAACTGCTGAGCACCAGAGTCCCTCCCCCCAGCCCATCAGGTGCCCCCAGGAATGTAGGGGGGCAAGGCCCTGGTGCTCAGGAGGCCCGAGGGCAACCTGGGCTCTCAACATTAACAGTAGCGGGACCCAGAGTAGCAATCCTTCCTTTAAAAGGTTTGCAGCAGGGTAAGCACAGTGGAAAATGCCACAGGGGACCAGGGGTCAGTCAGCGCAGCTCCCCCAACCACACCATCCTCACTGAGCTCTGGACCCAAAAGCACGGAGAGGTGCTTCCTTTTGTGACAGAGACCCCTGCAAAGTGGCTCTGAGCCAGATTTACACTGACCAGCTGGCTTTCCAGGTTTACTTGTGAGTCTACCCAAGACCTGGGCCCCTTGTCTGGCAATGAGCTGCCTGTAAGGGCAGGTGAAGCCCTGGAACCTCAAGGACAAGACAAGGCCAAGGCTAAGGACACCCAGCTCCAACCTCAATCAGCTAGGCCTTCCTGGAGATAACGTACTTCTTCTCAACTAACACGCCTTACTTAGAGAAGTCCTTATATGGACTCACAAGGCTCTACCATTCATTGATTTTTTTTTTTTTTTTTTGCTGGCTTAGGCTGCTTTAAGGGCAAGTCTGATAATGCAGGTAGAGGTGGGGATCGAACCGCAGTATCCTGCGTCTGACTGCATTTGCATGAGCAGGCACTTAAACAACTGAGCTAACAGGCAGGCCCCTTGCCCTGACATTCAAGACAGATTCCAGCCTTTTTCCAGTATTCCTTGCCCTTGTTCTGATAACCAAATAAATACAGATCACCCAGACAAGTTCAGAGTCTTAGCCCCAGAGAATCCCAAATTCTGTTAAAGGATCTGGAACCTCCCAGAGCCCAAAAGCCAAACCACGTGGCTTTTATTTAAGCCTTTGCCACCCGCTCATCAGGAACATTGATCAGTCTGCAATAACTAGAGGATAACAGTAACTGTCTCCACAACCACCCTGCAGATGGGTGCTACTTTAACACGAATTTTACAGAAGAGAAACAACCCTCAAAAAGCTACACTATTTCATTGCTACTTTATCTTTTTCTCTCACTAAAATGAAAAGAAAAAAGGGGGGGCAGCCAAATAGCTCAGCAGATTAAAGCGCCTGCTTAGGCAGACGCAGGGGATGGGAGTTCAATCCCCTGACCTGCTATGCCAGCCCTGTCCCTGGGGCACACTGAGACAGTGATTGAGAGTGGGCGTGGTGGTGCGTGCCTGTAATCCCAGCACTTGGGAGGCTGTAAACAGGAGAATCACTACGAGTTTGAGCTAGGCAGTAAGACCCTGTACACCCTGTCCTAAATACAAAAAAAAAAAAAAAGCTGAAAGATGGAAAAAAGAGGAAGATGAGGAAGAGGAGGAAGAACCTGCAACATAGCCAGATGGAAAAATAAACAGGGCAAGTAGGATATTCACTGACCCCAAAACCCACACCACCATGCACTGCCCCAACATCACCAGCAGGGGGCCTTGGCTCTCTGCTGCTACGCAGTCCCTCCACAAAGGCTTCTTTTTTTTTTAATTTTTATTTATTATTTATTTATTTATTTATTTATTTAATTTATTTTGTGTGTGTGTGTGTGTGTGTGTGTGTGTGTGTGGCCAGTTCAGCCCACCAGGGGGCGGGGCTGGCTGGCATGTGGTGCTGGGGATTGAACCGTGGTCCCTGTGCTTTTGCTTAGCTTGTTCTAAGTAGATGCTTTAGACCACTGAGCCATCTCACCAGCCCCACAAAGGCTTCTGAGGCAGACAAGCCTGGCACTGCCTGCCTCAGGGGCTCTGCACAGGCAGGGACCTCCCCGCCCCCAGTCCTCCACCCCCCAACCACTCCACCCCTTCACGCCCCCACTCCCATCCCCCCTCACTCCTCTAGACTGGTTCTCAGGGGGCTCTTACTGGGCCTCTTTCCTGGCTGCCCTTATCTGTAACAGTCTACCCGTGTGTTCATCTAACTCATGTCCGTGTCACCCGCACACAGTAAGCAACATAAGAACCCCAGGACTTCTGACCACCTCTGCATGCCAAAGCCCTGCCTGGGGTGGGTCATGCATCACCCTACTGTGTACAGCTGTCACGGGACAAGCCCTTGGAGGCAGCAAGACCCACCTCCAGCAGCAGGAGGAGGGACTTCCTGGCTCTGCCACACCCGCTGCCACCCTGCCAGCCTCACCTGTGCCCCACCTCCCCACCCCTCACAGGGCTCACTCACCATCTTCCTGCAGGGCTGCAGAGTCCAGCTCCAGGTCGTAAAGGCGGAGGCTGGGCCGGGCCGAGCACACCACTGGCCCAAGCGGTGGCCGGCTGTTCCTGCGCCGCATTCGGACTGTGCGGTTGTAGTACTGAGAGATGATGGCACCTCGGCTGCGGCCTGGACAAGCAGGGGCAGGGGTAGGGCCAGGTCAATGTTCCCAGTGCCAGCCTCCCCATCCTCAGCCCTGCCCAGAGCCCTCTGGCTCCACTACATTCCCAGGAACCTATTTTTACCCTTGGGACAATGGCTCTGGAGTCATTTTTAGAAGCCAGCACAGGGCTGTGCTGGGCCCCTGGGTAGCACAGGCCCGAGCCAAGGTCTATAGACCCTCAGCTGAAACCCCAGGTCAACTGCAGGCTGAGGCGAAGGCCAGTGTGAGGGCAGAGGGTCTACTCACCAATGGTACGACTGGGCATGCTGGCCAAGATGTTGAGTGTGGCAGTGCTGTAGACTAGGCCACCCTCTGCGCCCGGCAGGATCTGGTGACCACTGGCTAGGAAGGAAGGAGAGCCATTAACCGGGCTCCTCACACAACCTTCCTAGACCTGCAGACCCCAGAAGGGTCATCACAGGTCCTGTCCGCATCTTGCCCACTCACCTGAGGCCCCCAGGTTTCCTGCTACCTGCTGCAGCTCCAGGCCCTCCTCAGCCATCCACAGGCTCTGCTCCTGAATGAGCTGGTGGAAGGAGTCATGCACCTCGCTCTCCTCATAGGGGCTGAGCTCAGGGCTGCTGGGTAGGAGGAACAGAGACAGAATCCAGGCTCAGCCCTGGCCCCAGCAGCCCACCTCCTTCCAGAAGGAGAAGAAGGATGGTCCACGCCAGCCCCCATCCCAGAGCACTTACTCCTGGTCCCCTGAGATCTCAGAGACATCGAGAACTAAGGATAGTGGCTGGGCCATGACGGCGGTCCACCTCCAGCAGATCTGCAGACCTAGGGCAGCTCACAGCCTGGAAGCAGCCTCAGGAGCCTCCTGTCGCCCATCTGACAAGACAGGGACACAATGATTGCCAGTGTGTGGCACACATGCCAAAAGCCCAGTGCTCTGGGGGCCTGGGCTCCCCACAGCCGAACACATGGTCAGGCCAGCGGCCAAAACTCACTCCTGGATGGACCAAGGAAGGGGAAGGAAGGGTGTGGGGCCCATAGTTCCCCTTCTGTTTCCTCCACTTCACCAGTGCCCGGGAAATGGGGACGGGGCGGTGCCTCAGACACTGACCTTTTCAGGCCCTCATTCCCAGCCACTGCCCCAGGGACCCTCCCTGTTGCAGAAAGGTCACAGCTGCCGCCTTCCCCTGGCCGCCCTGCAACCCCAAAGCACTTCCTTTCTCCTGAGCCCCTCCCCCAGCCTGTGAAAGTAGGAGGCAGAAAGGCTCCCACATACACAGTAAGCAAAGATCTTTACTCTCCAGGACGCTGACGCCAGCGCGGCAGAATGGCCCTGGACTGGGCTGGTCCGAACACTACCCCTTTGTCCTGGCTCTGGGTCAGAAGGCAACACTGGAACCACAGCGCTTTGTCTGGGGCTCAGCCTTGGGGCTCAGCCTATGGGAATGGTGTGTGGACAGAGCTGCCCCCACCTACAGCTGCACAACTCTGCCAAAGCAGGACCCGGCTGGCGGATCCTCCAACGACACTGCCCTCGGCCAGCGGGGACTCAACATCACGACAGTTGGCTCCTTTCAGGGACTTCCCTGGATGCGGCCCAGGGCCCACACAGCGCTCAGTTTAACAACCAGGACGCATAATCCAAGCCCTTGCACAAGGGTGAGAGGAGAGGGAGCCTGGCTGCAGGGGAGGCTGAGGGGGCCCTATCGACCCCTGCAGCGGCGCCCCCTACACCCTCCTCCACGCACCAAGGCATGCGAGATCCCCGGAGGTTGAAGCCTGGGGACCTGCGGCTCCCCGGGCACCAAGAACTTCAGCGAGCAAGAACCACAACCCCTGCCCGACCCAAACGAGGATAAGCTGGAGAGTTTCCAGAATGCCCAAGTTTCCGGGTTGCAGCATTCCAGAGCCAGGTGGGGAGGAGCCGCCCAAGGCCACCTGGGAAGGGCACACCCAGCCTCGCGCCGAGGGTCCCCCTCGACCCTCCGCCAGACCCCGACTCCGGTCCTCCGTCGCAAACCCGGAAGGGAACTTGGACGCCAAGAGGCCCCGGGAAGACCGTGGGAACAAGCCCCGCACCCAGCCGCTCACCTGGGAGGCACCGGAAGGAGGGCTCTGCGGCGGTGCTCACCTGTCCCCGCGAGGGCCGGGAGCTGCCATCGGGCTTCTCCACCCGAAGAGGGGGCTGAGAAAGGGCCGGGGGCGACTGCTGGGCAGAGGGCGCTGCCGTGCCCGCCCACGTGGCGGCACCTCCACGGTCACGTGACCCGAGCGGCCCCCGCCCCTTCTCGGGCACCGGCCCTGACTGTGCCCTTCGCCCTCCCTCTTCCTCGTGCCTTACCCCACTTGTCCGGTTCTGTTGGATTTCTGGTGGAAGGAAGTCCATGGGCTTTGTGAGACTCAATTTCCCCAAGTTTCAAAAGGGGACAGTAACTCCAGACCTACCCACTTCCTGGGGGCTGGGACTGCCAAATAGGACAGCTCAGCAGAGCGCCCCTAGCAGCGAGCCGTTCCACACTGGTGCACCGGGTTGGGCAACCTCTTTCTACCAGGCTTCAGCGGCGGCCCTCCACGCCCCACCCCTGCCGCCCGGCCGGTTATCTCCCCCTCCCGTGGGGCCCGAGGCTTGCTTTGAGTTGTTTATCCTAGCAGGAGTTGAGGGCTTCCTGTGTGCTAAGTGGGGAGGAGGGGCGCCACCGAGGGCAGACAGGCACTTTGTGAATGTTCCCAAGGGCTCCCCCACAACGGGAGAGCAAAACCGAGGCTGGGGAGTTCCTCGGGCTCGGGGCGCCTCCAGCCAGAGCAGGAGCCTTAGCCTCCCGGCAGCTCTACGAGGACATGAGATGGAGACCCCCGTGCTACCAAGAGACGTGAGGCGGGGGGGGGGGGTGTTCAGGACCCTCCTAGAGGGGAGAACCTGAAAGACAGGCAGCAGGCACAGAGACTAAACTACAGGAGCAGGGTCTGGGGCATGAAGCTGGAGGCGCGTGGAAGAGCTGGGGTCCCCGCTTCCTTGAACTATCAGTAGGTCCTCAAGTGGGGGACCTGAGGCTGCTTCTCAGTACCTTGGCCTGAAGCTCTAGCCCTGCCCAGCCCCTGTTACTGCACGGTTTCCTGGCACACGGGCCCCTCTGCACACCCACGCTGCACTTGCCTTAACCCAAGCCCAAGCTGAAAGCCACCTCTCCAGCTAGAGCATGTGTCATCTCTACTGAGGCAGGCACTGTGAATCTGTCCCCTGCGCCCCCACCCGCTGTGTGCCCTGCACCAGAGCCAAGTTTGGAGCTGGAAACCAGGAGGAATAGGAGGCAGCAAGGCTCCAGGAGAATTCAGAGCTGGAGTAACCCAGCCCTAAAGGATGAGAACAGGACTCAGGGAGGTCGGACTGCGAGGCCTCCTGGGGAATCCAAGGACAAAGAATCACAACACCGTTCCTACATGTCAAGTGTAGAGCCCCTTCCAAAGCACTGACAGTGGGACCCGGGTATAAGAGTGAAAGGGGGTGCAAGCCAGAGAGGTGAGAAGTTCAGAAATAACTGGCTGAACACCAAGCAGCTGATGCAGTGGGGGGACCATGTGTCACTATCGCACTTTCCTGGGTGACCTGCTGAAGAAAGATAAGGGGCGCACCCTGCATCCCTCTGCCTTCACCCTCCAGGGCCAGGCCCCCAGCTTGGAAGCAGCCCAGCCTGGGGACGCAGCCAACCACAAACCTGGGGCCTATAGGACACCAGAGTGAGAGAAGGCGGACCCCCACCCAGCTTGCACCTCTCACCTGCACCCCCGCAGCCCACAGGAAGTGCCACTTAGCCTCAGTTAGAGCAGAGGAAACTTCGGGGGAAGGCCAAGGTTCCTGTCACATGACTCCACCCTCGTTCACTCACAGTCCCCTCTGCCTTGGCAGTTGCTGGCCCCAGCAGGAGGCTCCTGCAGAATTGGTGCTTCTGTCCCCAGGTGAGCTGGATGAAGTATACAGAGGGACTGAGAGGTGGGGTGGAGGAATTGAGGGCAGGGGATGTGGGCGGAGCTCCACCAAAACCGCTAGAGTGCCATGGGGTCTCTTCCTTTTCCCACGGTGAGGCTGTAGCCACGCCTCCTCATCCGGGTCCCAGGAGGGAACCCGAGACCTCCGGGCCTGGGCCACTGTGCCACAAGGGGGACAAAAGGGACCCCGGCACCTCTAAGGCCAGGGGGCTGCAAGATAGAAGATCCTGGGAGCTGTCAAGGTTTGGGGCCGGGTGTCTTCTCAGAGAGCAAATAGACAGTTTGGAGAAGAGCAGGAATTGTGTTTCTCTAAAGGGTGACCCCCTTGCCGGGCATGATGGCACATGCCTGTCATCCCAGAACTCAGGAGACTGAGGCAGGAGGATAACTGCAAATTTTAGGCCAGCCTGGCCTACAAAGTAAGTCCCAGGTCAGTCTGAACTGCATAGCAAAACCCTATATAAAAAAGACAAAGATAAAGGGTGACCCCCAAAGCTTGTAGCTGCAGGTAACTGTGCTTGTGACAGCCCCATCTCCCTACACCCTGCAGACCTTCACCCCATTTGATAGCTGGGGATATGGAGGCCCTGGGCTTGTGCCATGTTGCTGAGATGTGTAGCATGGCTGACCTCGTGCCCCTACTCCACCAGGCTTCTCTTTTTTCACTTCTGGTCACATCAGAGACAAGACCTTGCAGCTCCCAACCTGGTACCCATGTCCCTCATCCCTCCTGAGAGCAGAGGTTGAACCTGTGCCCCACCGCCTACCGCTGGGATGTTGCACCAGTGGTCAGCACAGTCAGGGCAGACCCCGAGGGAGCCAGGACACCTGCCCGAGAGCGAGGACCTCTGGGAGCAGGAGATGGAGTGGCTGCGTGCCTCCCGGGAGCCCCTGCGCTCACTGCCCTATGCCATGATGGACAAGCGCCTCATCCGGTGGGTGCCTAGCAGGAACACAAGCCGAGGCCAGGGGGTGGGGTCAGGAACCCGGGAGGATAATGACCTGTGGGATGCAGGTTGGAAACCACGGGAGACACCTGGGCTCATGGTGCCATCTGCCTGGCCCCCGGTGGGCAGGTGGGGGCTCAGGGCCATCCCATCACACCCCATCCCAGGAAGATGCGGGAGCCCGAGGGCATGCAGATGACGCGCTGGCAGTGTTGGCAGCAAAAGCAGCAGACTATGGGACAGCGCCTGGGGGAGGTGGCACGGCGGCTTGCCTGGGGCTTCGGGCTGTGGAAGGGGGCGCTATACGAGATCGGGGGTAAGTCTTCAATTCCCATCCTCCCTCTCTAGAGACCCACTACCCAGCTTGGAAAAGCAGGCAGGCACCATCCCACCCCCACTGACCAGCTCCTCTATCCTGGCCCGGGTCTGGTACTGACCTCAATGTGTGACAGCACCCTCTGGCGGTGCTTAGAGGCACTGCCTGGTCTGTGGCTCTGGGAGTCCCAGCGGGGTCCTCCCTGCTTCCCTGACTACCTGGCCTTCTTAATATAGGTCTCTTCGGCTCAGGCATCCGGTCCTACTTTACCTTCCTCCGCTTCCTGCTGCTGCTCAACCTGCTCACTGTGCTACTGACTGCCAGCTTCGTGCTGGTACCCCTGGCCTGGCTCCACACCCAAGGCCCGGGTCCTACCCTGAACTTCAGTGAGTGACGGCTACCCTTGCCCCTCTGGGCCCCAGCTGAGCCTGTTGCTTGTGGCCAGCCCTGGCCCTTCCTCAGTGCTGCTTTTGGTACTGCACACATCGTCACTGCCATGACTGGGCTACAGAATGGGAAGGCCAGGGGTCACTTATCTCTTGGGGACCCTTCCCTGTTCCACTCTTCTTCAGCAGCCCTCCAGTGCCCTGGAAGCCACCAGGCCCAGACTTACATTCCACGGTTCCACAATCAGCTTTGGAATGTTTTAACTGGTAGGGTAAGTGGTCCACGGGGGAAGGGACCCCCCCCCTTGTAAGAGATCCCACCCCTTCAAGAGTGCTGTGGTTGGGGGGCTGGGGAGATAGCTCAGTGGAATAAGTGCTTCCCTGGCAAGCACAAGGGCCTGAGTTCAATCCCCGGTTCCACAGGTTCCACACATACACACGTACACACACACACAAAAAAAGTACTGTGGCTTCTAGAGCCAAATCTGCACGCAGGCTTGTGAGACCAGTGATGGGACCAGGCAGAGGCGTGGCAGCTGCACAGTACAGCCCGTGGCCCTTGGTCTCATGGAGGGGGCCCAGACTCCTGAGCCCATGGTGCCATCTCTCTGGCCCCGGGTGAGCAAGTGAGGGCCCAGGGCCATCCCATCACACCCCATCCCAAGCAGATGTGGGAGCCCGAGGGCATGCAGATGAAGGGATGAGAGACCTCTGAAGGAAGTACCTCATCCCAAGAAGCCATCGAATGCCACCAGTGTAGGCTCCTGAGCTTGAGCCCTGCCTTTGACTCCTCAAGGCTGAGTGACCAAGTGGCCCAACCTCTCTGCCACTGTAAAATGAGGGTATTTCCATCTAATGGGGTTTTGTGAAGAGGATGACGAGTTCATGCATGGCCAGTGCTTCGTACGGAGCCTGCCCCTCGGTCCATGCCCAGCTGTCCCTGTCATGGTCCCCAGGCCTTCAACAACACCTATCTCTTCTATGGCGCGTACTGGGCTGGACCAGAGAGCAGCTCCGCGTACAGCATCCGCCTGGCCTACCTGCTCTGCCCGCTCGCCTGCCTGCTGCTCTGCTTCTGTGGGATTCTGCGGCGGTGAGCACAAAACCTGGACCCTGGCTGGGTCCTGGGACATCCTCCCTCGTCATCCCTTTGATAGCAGGGGGTGCTCTATGTTTGCAGAGGTTCCTGGCCCTGCTGAGTAAGGCACACACGCATGACCCCAGCTTCATATCTCAAGAAAGGGGCCACAGCCAGGCTGGAGGGTGGAGACCCACAGCCATGTCTGTCCCCAGGATGATGAAAGGGTTCCTGCGGAGGCCAGGGCTGGGCCAGGACTACGGGGTGCCCCTCAGTGCCAAGGTGTTCTCGTCCTGGGACTTCTGCATCCACCTGAGGGATGCGGCCACCATCAAGAAACATGAGATCAGCAATGAGTTCAAGGTGAGTGCAAAAGTGAGTGTGACTGAGTGTGAGTGTGCGCCTGTGCTTGTGCATTTTGCCAAGGGAGTGTGGAAGCATTGAGACTATGTACACGTGTGCACGAGCGTAAGAACATATGCGTGAGTGTGAGGGTATAAGTGTGAGCACTGTGACCACTGGGCAGGGTGAGAACACACAAGTGTGGCTGAGCGGAGAGGTGTGAGTGTAACGCAGCGGCGCTGCAGGACACTGCCCTGCTGTCCGGCCACAGGTGTACCTGGAGGAGTGCCGCCGACGCCAGCAGGTGCAACAGGACACACCCACCCAGCGCGCCTGCCGCCTGCTCAGCTACCTGCGAGTCAACCTCCTCAATGCATGCCTGGTGGCTGGGGGCATCAGCGCCATCTTCTGGGCCACTAAGTACTCACAGGACAACAAGGAGGTACAGGCCACTGTGTTCCCTTTACCCTGGCTTCAGCTGAGGGAGGGGATGGGTGACTTTGTCCACTCCAGACAGGACCTTGGGCTCAGAGAGGCCAAAGCTGTCATGATCATGGGTCACACCTAGGTCAGACGGGCTGTCATTATAGGTGTCCCCAACTGTGAGCTTCCGGCTCTCAGCCCTGCCCCTCACTATACCTCAAGGGGCTACAGGGGTGGGCAGGTGACAAGGCCTGCACCAGTGACCCGCAACCGGTGGCTCCCACAGGAATCCCTGTTTGTGGTGCTCCAGTACCTGCCCCCTGGGGTCATCTCCCTGGTCAACTTCCTGGGTCCCCTGCTGTTCATGTTCCTGGTCCAGCTGGAGAGCTACCCTCCTAGCATCGAGGTCAACCTCATTTTGATCTGGTGAGCATCCCTTGGGGACCATGTGGGCACAGGAGAGGGGTCCTTTTTTAGGAGAGGGGTCTTCCTGCTGTCTTGGGGGTCACCTGGCAGCAGCGGTCCCAAGTATGGAGGATACCACATTCACAGGTAGGTACTCCTAGAACACCGGCCTTGGAGGCCCAGGTCTGAGGCCTCGGGGTCCCAGGTCCTCACCACCAAAGGAAGTCGCAGTCTGGAACAAGTGCCAAAGAGGACCAAGGGGCTGTTGTGCCAGGAGCGCAGCAGCTCTGCAGGACACGGCCCCACTGGCCGGCCGCAGGTATACCTGGAGTCACCTCCTCAATGCATGCCAGCAGCTGTCCTCCTCCTGCCAGCCCCACCCCACCTGCTTCCTACCTAACCCCAGTTGTCATGTCCTTGGAAACTTTCCATTTTTTGGCATTATTTAGGATTGAACTGAGGCCTTCACACTGAGCTCCATTCCCAGCCCTTTTCATTTTAAAACAAGTTCTCACTAATTTGCTAAGTTTCTCAGGCTGGGTTCAAGCTTGTGGTCCTCCTGCCTCAGCACCTGTTGGAAACTTTTTGAATGTATTATAAATGAATGCACATATGGTTAAAAAAAATTCAAAATGCTGACAAGAAAAAAAAGTGCTGACAAGGATGAAAAGTTTCCTTCAATGGGCTGGGGAGATAGCTCAGTAGAATAAACACTTGCCTGGCAAGTGCGAGGGCCTGAGTTCAATCCCCGGTTCTGCAAAAAAAGAAGGAAAAGGAAAGTTTCCTTCAGATCATATAAATCTTTTACCTTTACTAAAAAGATGAAAGGTTACAAAAAAAAAAAAAAAAAAAAAAGCTCCCACCCATCCATGCTTCCCGGAGTTTCTGCCCCCACGTGGGCACTGGAAGCGTCCACCCTTGTAGTTCATGCGCATTCAGTGGTTTCCGGCCATCGGACCTGCACAGAACCCTGGTGCATTATTCAGTGGGTACCCAGGGCACAGGCCTTTCTGTATGAGATGTTGTCAGAATGTGAGCAGGCAGCAGGAGACGGGGATGTCAGTGCTGGGCTGTAAACTCTGCGGTAGACGCTGGTCTTGCAGGTGCGAGGCCCCGGATTCCATCCCCAGCACCACAGGGAAGAACCTGAAAAAGGAATCGGAGGCTGGGTTGAAGGAAGGATGGCCAGACAAAGCAGTATTTCCCAAACTGATTTCAAGGCAGAGCCCATTTTTCATGAGTCATATGGAGACTTGGAGTCCAGGGAAATACTTCGGAAAATGGTGCTGTGGCTGAAGCAAGCTGAAAAGAGACTGGGCTCTGGGTTTGGAGGGCGTGGGGCCCAGGAAGACGTGATCTCCCGGCTGTGTGCAGGTAACAGCCACCCTGTGGCCCTCGGCCTCTAGCCCGGACCCATCCCTAACACAGTCCCACCCCCAGGTGCGTGGTGCTGAAGTTGGCCAGCCTGGGAATGTTCTCCTTCTCGCTGGGTCAGACCATGCTGTGCATCGGCCGGAACAAGACCAGCTGTGAGACCTATGGCTACAATGCCTGTGACTATCAGGTAACGGTTGGCCCGAGTGGGGCCTGTCCCTCCCGTCCTGCTCTGCAAAGCCCTACCTCAAAGCATGCAGACTCCTGCCCCCGCCCCTTTAGTCCTCCTCCAGGTCTCACCTTTGTGAGCAGCTGTGAACGGAGCCACCATACAACAGCACACCCCCAGGGGGCGCCCCTGCACCACACTGTTCCTGCTCTAATTTTCCTAGAGTCTTGTCAGACTGTAGCCAAGCTCCTGTGCTATAAGATCTTCCCAGTGCCAGGCGTAGTGACACATGCCTGTAATCCCAGCACTCAGGAAGCTGAGGCAGGACTGCCATGAGTTCGAGGCCAATCTGGGCTACATAGTGAGCTCAAGGCCAGCACAGACTACACAGCGAGATCTGGTCTCAAAAAACAAAAGTTCCCTTACCCACCTCCCAGGGTAGGTAAGGGATAGGAAAGGGGGCCAGGATGGTGATGGGCCCCTCACTCTGCTCCAGTGCTGGGAGAACTCAGTGGGTGAGGAGCTATACAAGCTGATCATCTTCAACTTCCTCCTCACGGTGGCCTTTGCCTTTCTTGTCACCCTGCCTCGGAGGTGAGCCAAGCAAGAGGTGGCACCACAGGGAGAATGGGGTGATGGGCCTGTTTGGGACTGCTGGTGTGGTGGTCCACAGCCTGCACATCCTTCTTGATGGGTGGACACCTGGACCCTCCCACCCCAGGCTGCTGGTGGAGCGGTTCTCAGGCCGGTTCTGGACCTGGCTGGGCCGGGAGGAGTTCCTGGTGCCCAAGAATGTGCTGGACATCGTGGCAGGGCAGACGGTCACCTGGATGGGCCTCTTCTACTGCCCCCTGCTGCCCCTGTTCCAGAGCATCTTTCTCTTCCTCACCTTCTACATCAAGAAGGTAAGGGTGTCGCTGGGAGGGAGCATGGGTCTTCAGCCCTGGGTCCCACTTCTCCGGTCTGAGAACCACACTCATGACCCCTGCTTTCCCTGCCTGCTCCCCAGTACACCCTCCTGAGGAACTGCAGGACGCCCCCTCGGCTCTTCCGCGCCTCCAGCTCCACCTTCTTCTTCCAGCTGGTGCTGCTCCTGGGCCTGCTCCTGGCAGCAGTGCCCCTGGGCTTTGTGGTCAGCAGGTGAGGGGGAGGACTGGAGTGGGTGCAGGTGGACAGCCCCCACCCCATGGCCCTGACACCCACCTCTCCTCCATCTCTGCAGCACCCATTCCTCCTGGGACTGTGGCCTCTTCACCAACTACTCGGCCCCCTGGCAAGTGGTCCAGGAACTGGTAGCTCTGCGGCTCCCACTTTCTGGCCAGCGTGCCCTCCAGTATCTCAGCTCTCACGCCTTCGGTTTGCCCCTCCTCTGGCTGCTCAGGTGCCCATCAGGGTGGCAGGGACCATGGGAGAGGACTGCTGGGGAGGGTGTCCTGTCCTTCTTTTCCCTGGCCCATCTCATAGAGAAGCCAGGGAAGGGAAAAGGGGAGCTCAGGGGAGCAGGGCCCAGGCCCCAGATAGGGACCTTAAGGCTGGAAGCCTGGGGGCCGCCCCTGTAAAGCTGACCCCCGAGGCCCAGTGCCAGGATGCCATGGGGGCTCTAGGTCCACTGGGGAAGTATGGTTCCTTGCTGAAAGATTAAAGCAAAAGGGTCTTAGGAAGAAGCTAGCTTTCATGAAAGTTGTGCAGAGAGAGGGGCTGGGGAGATGGCTCAGTAGAATAAGCACTTGCCTGGCAAGCGCAAGGGCATGAGTTCAATCCCTGGTTCCGCCAAAAAGGAAGGAAGTTGTGCAGAGAGAAACCCCAGAGCCTAGCATTTTCAGAAGAGGAGGAAGTCGGGAGGTGGCACCTGTAATGGGAGGGGTAACTGACCTTGAATCCTGTCATCCCCCAGCCACATCCTGACAGTGTGCATCGCTCAGTCCCAGGCCAATGCAAGGGCCATCCACGTGCTCCGGAAGCAGTTGGTGTGGGTGAGCATCCGCTGGGCTTGCGGGACATGGATCCTCTGGGAATGTACCCTGAGATAAGCAGGTGCCTCACTCTTGGGGTGCAGATGGGCAGGAGGAGGTAACAGGATCCTCAGTCGAGGCCAAGGTCCTGGAGCAGAACCTCATAATAACATGGCCTTAGGTTTGGGGTCCGGCGCCTGTCATGAGAGCGTGGCCTCAGACCTGCAGGACTCTGGTGAGGAGGGATCTCAAGGAGCGTGGCCTCTGGTTAACAAGGAGTGACCGAGAGTGACCTCCGATTGCCTTGGGAGCAGGACACGGTCTCTATTAGGGGCGGGTCTCATAGGAGGCGTGCCAGGGCCCTGGTGGGCGTGGCCTCGTTCACCCAATCAGCTGTGTGCTAGCGGCTCTGCCAGGTGGTCGCTGTTCCCAAACCGATGCTTGCTCTCTTCAGCAAGTTCAGGAGAAGTGGCGCCTGGTGGAGGAGCTGTCGCGGCTGCTACAGGAGCCAGGCTCGAGCGAATCTCTGATCCCCGACTCCCCTCGTTTCCGAGCTTCACACCCGCGGTTTTCCGGTCCCGGATTCTGGAGCCCAGGTTCTCCGGGTCCCGAGAGCCCCGCTCGGGACCCTTCCACACGGACCCCGCCCTGGTTGAGCTCCTCCTACCCTGGATCGCGAGATTCCCCGGGCCCCCGGTTCCGCTTTCCCAGCGGCACTGAGCTGTAGCACCGACTTAGCGTCCCCTAAGGAGAGACCTGCAACACCCACTTGCCTACCCTGGCTCCTGGAGGGGCGTCCTCACACACAGTGACAGGGCTGCCCCGAAGAGGGCCACACATCCCCAGGGGTAGCAGGGCGACCATATGAAAATTTCTATTTTTTATATCTCATCCCTTTAAATTTTCTGGTTTTTACTGAATATTTTATAACATACGCAGTACATTATTATGGTAACTCATAAACACAATTCACAAGCAACACGTCTTTTAGGAGTGATTGTGTACCAAATGATGCTCTCACAAAGCTTGGTGTCCTCTCTGTTGGAAAGAGGAGAGCTGACTTCCTCCCCACATGGGGGCTGCCCTAGGCCCCCCGCTGCATCGCACCGCTCAGCCCTTCCTCGAGTGGACGGGAAGCTCACAGAGGTCAGGGCCACAACCAGCGGAGGCAGAGCTATGGTTAGAATCCAGGCAGGCAGGCTGCCTCAAAAGGGGCACAGTGGGGCAGGGGAGATGGCTCAGTAGAATAAGCACTTGCCTGGCAAGCGCAAGGGCCTGAGTTCAATCCCCGGTTCCACAAAAAAAGGGGGGGAGGGGGGCTCAGAAACCTTCCTGACCCTACCCCTGAGGACTCACTGATGTTCAGGTGACTGGGAAGGTGTTGTTGCTCTTTGTTGCTAAGGCCAGCCCATAGCAACAAAGGTGCCTCAGGAACCAAAACCTAGGTCCATGCTATGTCTTTTTTTTTTTTTTTTTTATGGAACCAGGGATTTGAACTCAGACCCTTGCGCTTGCCGTGAAAGCACATAGTCTACTGAGCTATCCCCCTGGCCCCAACACTCTATCTTCTGCAGAACTGCCCTCCCAAGCTGCGAGGTGCCCTGCCAGGGTCCATAGGCTTGCACTGTGACAGACACCTGAAGTGGGTCTCAGCAGGTGTAGGAGCCTCAGCCCTGGGATGGCCCAAGGCGTAACCCGGATTCAGTGACTGGGAAGAAGGGAGGCGGCAGGCAGGGTATCAGGACTTTCTACGCGCCCAGGCGACTCTCACAGAGAGCTGTCATGAGCTGTGAGGAGGAAAGGGCAGGAGAAGTCCCAGGATGTGCTTACAAAGCCTCCAGCTAGCCCCGGGGGACAGCGCCTGGCCGATTCCAGCGAGGTGGCTCTGCTGCCACCCTCAGGGCAGGGGCTTCTCGCCTGGTCCTAAAGCCTCGGCCAACCCAGCCCCTCTGACCTAACCTCGTTGGCCCGGCATCGCATGACCACCAGTTTCCCCCAGTGGAGTGGGTGCTGCTGATTGCCAGGCCCTGCTTCTAGAGTGGAGGTGAGGCCACGGGGGAAATGGGAGCTCTGGTTCTGTCTCGGAAAGAACCATCAAACAGCACTCTCGGGTGGGGTCCAGCAGTTGTGCCCCTCCACGTGGGCTAACCCCAGCCCTTTTTTTTTTTTTTTTAATATTTATTCTTGAAAAAGAAAATAAGAAGGCCCCAGCCCTTTTTTTTATTTTTCATTTTCAAGCGCTTATTCTACTGAGCCATCTCCCCAGCCCCTTATTTTTTTTATTTTGAGACAGAGTCTAAGTTATTAACTTGCCCAGACTGAGCTTCAACCTGTGATCCTCCTGCCTCAGCCTCCTGAGGAGCTGGGATTACAGGCAAGGGCCCCCATAGCCAGCTGTGTAGGCCTTTTCTTTTCTTTCTTTCTTTTTTCTTTCTTTCTTTTTTTTTTTTTCCTTTCGGAACTGGGGATTGAACTCAGGCCCTTGAGCTTGCCAGGCATGCACGTATTCTACTGAGCCATCTCCCTGGCCCCTCTTTCTTTCTTTTCTTTCTTTCTTTCTTTCTTTCTTTCTTTCTTTCTTTCTTTCTCTTTCTTTCTTTCTTTCTTTCTTTCTTTCTTTCTTTCTTTCTTTCTTTCTTTCTTTCTTCCTGTGTATTTAGTACGGGGTCTACAGGGTCTCGCTGCATAGATTGGACTCATAGTGATTCTCCTGTTTTCAGCCTCCCAAGTGCTGGGATTATAGGCGTTCAGCACCACGCCCAGTCTCAGTCACCATCTCAGCACACCCCCCGGCATCGGGGCCGGCACAGCATACCAGGGATCGAACCCGGTCACTGTGCCTACCTAAGCAGGCATTTTAGTCCACTGAGCTATCTGGCCATAGGCCTTTTCTTATGACTTTCATATCCCTTCCTTAAACTCCTTGAGAGCCAGCCTCATGCATGCCCGTGTGCTCTATAAGAGCCATGAAGAAGACAGGCTTAGCAACAGGAATTCACTAAGTGCTGGGCCTTGGGGTGCTCATCCTAGAAGGGGGAAGCAGCCGTACTCCTCCAAGGGGCTGAGAGGATTCAGTGAGTGATTATAAGTCCCCATGGGTGAAGCCTGGGCTATGAGGGACAAAAATCATAGGACATGATATGTACTGGGGGCCTGGAGAGTTTGGGGGGACACACAGACTCCATGGAAGGAACCTGTGGATAACACGAGGAGTCACGGCCCAGCCCATAGACAGAAGGGCCAGGGCAGCCAGAGGACTGGTGAGCTGGTGGTGCCCAGACAGGGGCCATGGTGGGGCAGGAAGTTGCCTTATTTCCCCAAGGCCCAGGGGAGTTGTCCCTGGCGTTACCCAAGCCTCTGCTGACTCTGGCCCTGAAACACACTGAGAAGAGAAGACTCCTCAGAGATGCCGCAGCCTAGATGGGGAAACACAAATTCCTGGGTCTCTGGATTGTGCATCGCCTAAAACCTCTCTGGGGTCTCCCTGCAGTCTTCCCTTCCTCCCCAGTCCACTCGCAGCAGACAGGAGCACAGGCTTTGGAAGGGAATGTTGCTGGGGACTGAGAGAAAGTGCTACACCCGCTGGGGCTGCAGGGGTAGGGAGGTGACACAGGCTCTATCCCCAAGGCATGTGTCGGGCCCAGTGAGGGGCAAGTGACAGCACTGATCCAAACTGGCTGAGGAGAAAGAGGGCCACCAACAGGGGCCAGCACCATGTGACTTCCTGACACCTCTGCCACCTCTTCCTCCTACTGCCTGGCCAGCAGGGGCCGCCCTGCAAGCAGCTTCCTGATGCCACCAGTCCCTGAGACAGGGCTATAATTGGCCTTCTGTGGGTCAAGAGTCCATCCTTGGGCTGACGAGCTATTGGGGGCAGGAGGTAGGTTCCCTGGTCAGGCTGTCCTGGAAACAAAAGGTTACCTGGCTCAGAGAGCATCAATCAAGGGGAAGCAGTCAAAGCTGGTATTTCCTGCAGTAACCAAACTTGTCCCAAAAGCCCCTGGTCTGTCTGGCAGCACCAGGCTGGGCCATGAAGGAGGAGCCTGGCTTGTGGGTAGGAAGGTGGCAGTGGCCCACTGTGGAGGTGGCAGGACCTGCTCCCTCAGCTCTGTGTCCCTTGGGCAGGACCTGCAGGTCTGGCGCTGGCCTGGCCTTAGACCCCTGAGAGGCCCTGCCTACCCTGATCCATCTCTCCTGGTAACTCAGCAGCACAGTGTGCAGGCAGAGGTGTGGCGCTCGGTCTCCTTTTTTGCAGAGTCACATTGGATCCCAGTCTCTGGGGAATAGTCATCCCCATCGTTGGGCCAAGGAAGGATCCTGCCCCTTTGAGCACCTTGGGTACACTGCATCACACTCCTGGGGTGACCAGGGGCCCAGGTCAGACAGGATCCAGAAAGACATGAGCAGACCCTGCCTGTCCTCCCTGCTTTTCTTTGGGGTGTGGCCCCGGGCTCTCTGGGGCCACCTTGTCAGGCCCCTTCAGAACACATTAGGCCCACCCAGATAATCTGGGATACGGCCCCCCCTTGAATTCAGCAGGAACAACCTCAGCTTGCTCTTCCCACGTGATGTGAGCCACGGGCAGGCTCAGAGGTGAGGATGTGGACATCCCCTGCCACGAGTTGGCTGAGCCCAGTCAGGCCTGGGGGGCTCCCACTCCCCTGGGGGGTGTGGGGCTGTTGGTTGTAGGGCTCTCTGGACCCAGCCCTGGGAGCAGAGGCCTCCAAGTTATCTCCTCTATGCAGGCAGCCACGAGGACCACCTCTGGGGCCCCAGGGTGGGGCCCCCAGACCTAGGAGGCTGGTAAAGCTGAGCAGAGGCCCCACATGGCCTCCACCCTCAGAGGCATGAGGCTCCTTCAGCTGCTCTGCTTGGCCACACTGGGTGAGCCCATGGGGGACTCTAGGGGGGTGGTCTACAGCTAAGGCCCCAGGAAGTGAGTTTAGGGTGTGGAGTGCTGGGGAGCACTGGGGAGGAGCCCCAGACCAAACTCAGAACCTTGCGCTTGCCAGGCAGGCACTTATGCCGCTGAGCTATATCCCCAGCCTTCTGGGCTTCCGAGTCCTTGCTGCCTGTGTGGCTACTACTCCTTGCTCACTGGACATGGTACTTACTCTGCAAAATGGCCCGGAGATCCCACATGTCGTGGGGCTCAGAAGGGCTTCTCGAGCAGCCCTGCTGCCTGCGACCTCACTGCCAGGACTGGCCCTCACTGCCCTTCTCCCACCCTGGCAGGGGGCTCTGGGCTGTCCACAGCCTCCCTCGGACGTCCCACCTCTCTTACGGCCTCCAGCAGCTCTTCCACGGGACAGGCACAAGGTGAGAAGCCCCACATCCTGAAGGGACAAGAAATGTCCATCCAGCTGAGGACAGAAAGAGGTGGCAGAGGTGCTCGGGGACAGTTGGACAATTCTGGATCCTGATAGGACCCTCAAGGGAGGCTGAGGGGGAGTCCCTGGGACCAGGGCAGGGGTTGTCTGCTTAGGGCGGCTGGCTGGAGTATGGGGTGTCCTGGACAGGAGTGTCCTTGTCACTCTACCCCATGTTCTCATCTCCTCCACGTGCCTCACAGATCTGCCAAGATGGTGCGACCTAGAGAGGACTGGGGAATTTGGGTAGCACCTTGGCCTGTAGGGCTGTCTCCAGGCCTGTTGGGGGTGGGGGGTTGTATGTAAGGGAAGTGAAAGTCCCCCAGGGTCCAGCATGGGGGGCAGCCTGAGGCATCGGGCCTCTCTCTTTCTCTATCTCCCTGTCTCTCCCTCACCCTCTCTCTCTCCCTCTGTCTCTGTCTCTTTGTCTGTCGGTCTGTCTGTCTGTCTGTCTGTCTGTCTGTCTGTCTCTCTCTCTCTCTCTCTCTCTCTCTCTCTCTCTCTCTCTCTCCCCCCCCACAAATCCAGGCTGATTCAGAGCCAGGGAGGAGAGGACACGAGGCAAGTGAGTGCAGCCCCAGACCTTTCACCCCCGCCCCTATGGCCCGGCCTATGCCCTTCTCTAAGCCAGCCCCATCTCTCCAGCTGCTCACCACAGGCTTTTCCCTCACCAGTACCTCAGTCCCTGTGTCTGCTGGGTTGAAGGCAGCTGACCACTTCCCTATCTCTCTCTCTCTCTTTTTTTTTTTTTTTTTTTTTTTTTTTTTTTGTACTGGGAATCAGATTTAGGACCTTCTACTTGCCAGGCAGGCCCTGCACCTCTGAGCTACATCCGTGGCTCCCACCTCTGTCTTGTCCCTTACCTTACATCTCCGGGTCACCTGAACACTGAGCTTAGCATCCTCAGTTCTGCTGAAGGGGAGGTCCCAGGTAGAGGTGACGCACGTCTCACTTGGATGAAGCAGAAGCTAAACTATCATTTCCTCATTTGCCGTAAAAACAAGCACATTGTTAGTATTGCAGCTAAAAAAGGGAGCCCGTGGTGAGAATCAGGAAAGTACCTGGGGAGGGACTGTCCTGCCTCCCTCTCAGCTCAGCCCCTGACTTCTTAGATTTTTGCTGACTGAGTCCTGGTAACTAAACTCCTAAGAGACCAACTGATAAATGATGCATTCATTGCTCCACATGTCCCTGGGCACCTGTTTGGTGACAGCCACTGCTTCAACCCTGGGCATAAGGAAATAAGAAACCCTCATTCTAGTGGGACCAGGGGACAGAAGAGTAGAAACATGAACACCCTCTAGAGCAGGTCGGAATTCACCTTGCATGCCTGACAAGCAAGCCACGGGGGTTTCTGCAGGCTGCCGGCACTGTGGAGATGGGACGGGACCGTTGAAGAGGCTGAAGCTGTCTGCCGCAGCTCTGGGACAGCACTGGCTAAATACAGCCGTGGCTGCCAGGGTAGAATCCTGCAGCTCAGACTGCAGAGGAGGGGCACAAAGCTGGCACTGGTTCTGAGATGGTGATGAGCAGAGGGCCCAGGATGGGGTGACCAATGCATGGGTGTTTTGTTCTGTTTTGTTTTAGCAGTACTGAAAATTGAACCCAGGGACTTTGCATTGAGCTACATCCCCAGAATTTTTAAATTTTGAGACAGGATCCCATTAAGTCTCTAAATTACCCAGGCTGGCCTTGAATTTGCAACCCTCCAGCCTTAACCTCCCAGAGTGCTAGGATCACAGCCCAGTGTTTCTCAAAGTGAGGGTCCCAGATGACACAGGATCACTTGGGTGGGGCCTGTGCCCCTCCGCCTAGCAGACTGAGCTATATCTACCCCAGGACTTCGCTCTCCCCAGAAGTCTGAAATCAAGGTGTGGGCAGGGCTTTTTCCTCGTGGAGGGTGAGGAGCTCTTCCTGGCTCTCTCCTGCCATCACACGGTCACATGGCAGCTCCTCACCAGGTCTGCCTCTTTGCTCCTGTCATGAGGCCCACACTGATCCAACAGGGATTATTAATTTTTTTAAATTTGTTTATTTTATTTATTTATATGTGTGTGTGTGTGTGTGTGTGTGGC